CCTCCGAGACACTGAGGGTTGCCTTTTTGCCAGCAGCTGGAGGTGCCTGAAGCCAAGTCACTGACCACTGAATCAAGTCCCAGTGAATGAATCTTTGCTTTACCCAAATGTGTTTTTTTTTTTAATTGAAGGATGCAAATGCCAAAAGTTGAAAGGCGAAGGAACAGCTGGCTCTGGGATCTCCTGCCAGGGCTGTGGGACCTTGATTGGAGAAAGAGCTCCGCAGATGCCCTTTCCAAAGACAACGAGGAAAAGGGCTCATATTTGCTCAGTCACAAAACTCGTGGGAAGGGTGCCAGCAGACTCCCAGTGAAACAGGCCAAGGAGCCCAGCCAACAAAACTCACTTTTGTCAGAGGTGCGACAGTGACGTCTCCCTTTCACCGGAAGGGAGAGAGAATGGCCCTTCTATTTTGTTTTATTTTTGAATGTGGGTTCCTCCTACAAAGGGCCCAGTCAGGACTGCTTAGGAAAACCAGCGTCGAAAGGGAAGTGTGCTGTTGCCAAGTAGAAATGGCGAAACTCCCTATGGTACAAAGGAGAGACAAAAGATAAAAAGACAGCAGAAATTAATGCTTCATGCCCCAAGCTCCAAGCTGAGAATGATCTTAGATCAGGGTTACCAAATTTTGTTGAATCTTGACCCCTGAAAATGAGAAATGAATTTGTCAAAAAAACAAAACAAAAAACTGAATAAAATTATTTTATTGGCATTAGGCTTGGGAAAGAAAGAACCTACTTTTAATAATTCAATTTTTAATCTATATAACATAGGAGTTCTCAATGGCCCATTGTGGATTTGCACAGGCACGTGAGGAATAGGCTTTAAAAGCCTGCCAACTTTTTAAGCAGAAACACTTTCAAAACTTGCTCCCGTTTTTTCTGGCCGAGCTTGCAGCTGGTTTGCATAAGACAAAACAGGAAGCAAAAACCAGAATGTGTTTTTACCAGAGCTCCCACTTTGCCTGTGCAAACCTGATTCAGTTTTTGTTTCTTCAATTGCAACCCCTCCTCAAGTTGTTCACAATCAGTGGGGGTGTGTGTGTGTGTCATGAACCACAGTTTGAGAATCTTTCTTCATCTGATCTTGAAATTCTGTATAAAAAGTAGCACTCTTAAAGCAGGGGCTTTTTTGTTATAGGACCTTGGTGAATGCCCAGCGGTGCCATCTTTTGGAGCTGTGGAATGATCCTGCACATAGCCTAGTAAAGAACTGTTAACCGAAGAAACAAAGTTTCAACCTATTGCTGTCGCAAGACGGGGACGCCCCAACTTGAGGTTTTCCATAATACATAATAATTCATTATACATAGCATCTGGGTTAACCATAGATAGTAAAGTAAGGCACTATTGGGCTACAAACCACAGCTGGGTTCACACAACCCGGCAAAATTGGGCTATATGATGGCTTAAGTGTAATGTGTGAACCCAGCTTTTTATCTGAATTGGCTCTTATTACTCTGCGTGAACTGACATCTCTGTTGATCTTTTTAGACAGGATAAACAAGATTGTCCAGAACACAAGTTAATCTTACTCTGGGGGAGATGGGCGGCATATACATTTATAAATAAATAAAGTAAGTAGGTAAGTTAAGGGACCAAATAGACTGATGTTTCACCAAAAATTGGCTGCCATTTAATGGAGCCAGCAAACCTGCCATCCAGACAGAACCTGGAGAGGGTTTAAATGTCGGTAACCCCAAAGGTACCCTATCTAGGTTTTCCTAATATTTGAAGCTAGTCTGGTATGTGATGTCGCTTTAGTGTGTTGTGTCAACCCTGCCACTGCAATTTGTAAAACAGTGGCTTATGGTACAGGGTGTTACATGAACCCGCTAATTGTGGTTTATACAACAAACTACAATTAAGCAAAGTATGAATTAATGTAATGTATGAACCCAGTTTCTGTGCCAGAATGCTGATTTCCATCAAGTGGAGATATATAGGAAAATATGAAGAATTAAGAACAGGGGCAGATGGAAATTCTGCTTGAAATGCTTAACCTGTTGTCAGTGTGGTTCATGCAACATGCTAGACCATGTTTATGCTGGTGAAATAATAATGCAATGTTTTAACAAAGCAAACGTATTATCACTTTAGGCGATGGTCTGGTTCACACAACCTACTAAGATAATGGCTACGTTTCCAAATCCCCCAACCTTATTTTAGTCTACTGTACTGTATTGTGTGAACCTGCGCTAGGTATTCAAGTCAATGTCAGCAAAAACGTCACCACAGTTATTTGTCCTAGCCAATCCTACAGTTGCCTTCCTCTTCAGGAAAAGCAAACCAACTTTATTGCAGCATCTTGTTAACAGTGGTTTTGAATTAGGGATGAATTAGCGTCATCCAGAGATTTTAAAGCCTGCTGATTTAAATTATGTTTTAAAAAACAAAAATAAGCAGGAGAAACAAGACAAGATCAGGAGTTGGTCACCCTAGTTTTGGACTTAAGTCTCCAGGGTAGAACCTACTTTTTCTTCCCCTCCTCCAATTCATATAAGCCCCCACCCCTCAGATCTTCCTACTGAGATTAAAATTAATTAGTGCCCATTACAAATCAGATTATATGCATCCTGTGTGCATGCATGTGCAAATCTCTCCTGAATAGAGCTATTCCCAGAGAGGCATATCAGGTGTTCAGTACCATTGGAGAGAAAGCCACATGCATTTCCACACCTAACAAATGGTCATAATCCTCCATAACTCCTGAAATTTTGGATTTCTGGCATCCATTGTTATGACTCCTCAATCTTGGACTTCTTAATCTGGAAATCAGCCCCTGGAATCGGCAGTGCAAGGCAGAATTTAAGAAAATTGGTTTTTAGAGAAAGGGGTCTTGCTCCCTGGCATATAACAATGAAAGAAAAGAATGGGAGAGGAATATTTACAGTTCAGTATGAAGCATTGTGAACCCATGGAAAAAAAAAAAACTTTCATATGTGCTTAAACTAATAAAGTACTGGGAAAATTCCTCCAGTGCTTTGCTGCAAAGAATCCCTTTCTTAATTGCTTTCGACATTATCATCTGTCTTCTTTTTAGTATTGTTGTAAGCCCAACCAGCTTCAGCAGACTGTCTTTTCCTGGTTCAAATCCCAAATAAACTTTTTCAGCATGTCTTCTCTGCTCACTTTAAACTGTGACATAATGGGGTCTGCTCAAGCTGTCTGGCTTCCAGCTACATTGACTGTTTGCTTATTATATGGAGTGTTAGTTATGAAATGATTACACCAGTATTTGGAGGCAATTATTCCAGGCCTGGTTTCATTCTGCAGAGATGGGTGCTAAAAAAAACTACAGGAGCCCACTTGATCTGGAAGGAAAAGAACAGAACGGATCAGAAATTGGGTAAATATAGGAGCTGGGATTTATAGTATTTGCGTAGAGTTGCATTTGAATGACTTTTAGAAGGGAAAAAGGAATATGTTCCTAACAGGTGTGCTGTTAGCCAGGTTCTTAAATTAGTATTCCACTATCCTTATACAGAGAATTTTAATTTCCGTCATCCACAGACAACATGGGTTATGGTACAATTCGTCAAGAAAATGAAGTTCAAACATTTGGCATAGTGCAACACGTGAACCTTTTAATTATGCTAGGTGGAGATGCTGATTGCTGTTAAAAATAGTTCACAAATCTGTTGTAATATTTTGCATACCTGCACAATATAGCCAGTTTGGGATACACGATTGAGTTAAGCATGTTATGTGAACACCATCACTGTGTTTGCATCATGGATGTAATAAGTTAAGGGAAAAATCTAGCAGCTGTAAACATACTGAATTAACCGTGATAGGATTCTGGGTTGGGGTTTTTTGTTTTTTGGTGACGGTTCAGTGCAGTTGTACATTCAGTCATTTGGTCAGTTTATGATTCAGTTTATTGTGCAAATGCAAAAACTGGGTTAGTTCAGCAAGTAGCGGAAGAGCATTTTGTGAATGCAGCTGCTGTGGGATTCTGCAGGTGTGAATAGACTTGATCGTAGAGGGGAATCCAGCATATAAACCCAGGGTGGCATTCACACAACACACTAAGATATGTCTTGTTTAACCATTGTTTATTGTATCAAGTACAACTGGTGGGATTCATGCAGCTGGTCTGCAGGCTATATAAACTGGATTTGATATGGAGGCCCTTTAGCATATCATGGGCTAAAAAGGTATATCCGTAAATTAAAATATGCCATAAACAAGCCAACCATGATTTGGTTTAGCGTGTTGTGTTAAACTAACCTGTCACTATAAAGGAACCTACTGTACAAGGAGAGTCGATGGCTCACGCACTGCTTTCTGAAATGGATACAGTTCAGACAGAATTTTAACATCTAATGGGAAATGAGCTCTGAGCCTATACTGGGGCTATGATGATGCTGCCCCATTTTTATTTTTGTGGATAAGCGTTTATTTAAAAAAAGGATTTGAAACCTTTTTAAGTCTATGAAAAAGATGTTGAGTTATCCAGTGACTATTCAGCAAAGCTGCAATGAGGCGGTTGTTTTTCTCATGCTGCAGAAAATTATTACCATTAAACCGCAATGATTGCATTCCGTGTTGTAGGGACAGCAAATGGGCCAATCTTGGCTCCATAATTAAATTGAAGAGTCACAATCTCATAATTCTCAGCTCGAGGGCTGACATCCTTCTTGGATTTATGGCATCTGTGATCAGGCCCAAAAAGCTTAAATGGATCTAACGTCAGACGTGGAGAATGAGGGTGGTAGGTGGAATTAAGAATTAGCGTAAAGCCTCAATTTTTTATTTCTTTGCCCTCCCTATCAAATGTCTCTGCTATTTCCCCTCCATTTGGCTTTTTCATGCTCTAGATAAGAGTGGCCAACTTCTAGCCAGCCTCTGCAGCTCATCCTTGAGCTGCAGATATTTAGAGCAATAACACTCACTTCCAACCAAACGAACCACTGATTATTATGCTCAGTTCAAGGTGCCAGACTTCCAAATCCTTGACCTGCTGAAGGCCTGGCTTCTACACCACTGCAACTAATACAGAAGTCCTGCCTCCACCCCAGTCAGGAAGAAGCGGATCAAGATTTAATTTTTTGAACACTCGGCAGCCATGATTTAAGTTCTCCCTTCTCTGAACTGCCTGGTGTTTTTCTTAACATGAGTCCCATCCACTTAGCCCCCAGGATGCACCAAGGGCTGGAAAATCTGAAAATATCACTCCAATTTTGTGTCAGCCATACTGGGGGTTAATTTCCAAGGCCAGTGCATCTGACTTTCATGTACTCTGGTTGGGGGAACGGATGGAAGGAATGTGTGTTCTCTGTCCAGCTGTGGCAAGCACTGCACATTAACCATGGGTTGCTTGACAGACGGGGCGTCCCCATTAGCAAAAGATGCAACTTGCATGTTTCAAATGAGGAGATTAAACTCACACTTGTTTGGGTAGGGAGAAGCACGTATGCACATCCAATAGCAGCCATAATCAGCAGCTGCTAGGCTGAACTAGGGAAAAAATATTAATAAAAGTTAATAAAAGAAAGGCAGAAAGAAAAAAAAACCGGAGTGACTCCTTTTGCACATGGTAGTTCCATCATCGATCCCTCAGTTCTGAGAATCCCTTGGGAAGGTCCTAGAGAGGATGTCCTGTTGCCGGCAGCAGGACGCTGGGACCTGTGATACCACACGTGGTAATTCCATCGCAAATCCTGGGTCTCAGGAAGCTGAAGAGCGTTCAGCTGAAGTAACACGGGGATTGCAGGCTGAAGAGCAATCAGCTGAAATAACATGGGGATGGGAGGCAGGAATGACTAAACGCATTTATTCTCTTGTAGGCTTTTGTGGTGCACAAGTCAATGCTGGGATGTTACAGAATCTCTGAATGTCTCAGCTGCTCAAGGAAAGGTCACAGGCCAGCTTCTGCAAAAGGAAGGGGGAAAGGGGTGGGGGAATAGGTGCCAGTTTGACTGAGGTTAAACCTGCACACTGGGTCAAAGGAAGCCGAAGATGTGAAATGGAAAGAGTTAAGAGGTTGTATCATCTTGCAAGTCATTAGTTCTGCTGGTTAAAGGTTTTTCACTAGTTCCTACCCCTCTGGAAAAGAAAATACTGTTCCTGTCTTCCAGAGCAAGTTGGCTACTAATAGAAGAGAACTGTAGATATTGGGATTGTTTTTTTCCTTTTCACATTAGATTTAAAGCAAAGGCATCGAGCTCTCGTTGTCTTTTCAGCCCCTATTCCTGTGCTTTCAACAGCAGCCTATTGAAGGAAAAACAACAACAGTCCATTTAGTTCCCATCTTGCAATTTCCCTGTCAGGGAAAGATGCTTCTATTCAGTTTCAGCGGGTTGAGTGGCTTTTAAACGGAACCCAAGTGGGGCCCCATTTTAAAAAATGCCCCTGAAATGACTGTAGAAACATACTGGCCACTCAAACCAGAGGAAATGCTGGAAGTTTCCCCTTTTTCTTTTTCAGATGCCTTTAGATGAACAAGGCAGACAAAGGATGGATTCAGATATTTCCTTCCTGTTCCAGTGCCCAGTTCCTGGGGGTATCCCAGAGTCTCAAGTCCGAGCAGAACTTTCCCCCCTCTATGACCGGAACTCGCTGCCCAGATACCAGGCCCAAATCGACAGCACATGGGCAGCACGTTGCCAGCAGAACCGGTGGCTTTTCAACGGGGCTAAATTTCGCCTCCACTCAGTCAAGGTGGATGGAACTTTTTTGACTTTCCATCTGGGGCTTACCAGCTATAAGGACTTCGTGGGCACCAACTTGGCTGAGACAGCCAGGCAGCTCCAGGAGCAGGGGCACAAGGACTTTGGGAATAGCCAAGCCTACCTCGCCGAACCCCTAGGCGTGGGTGCCATGTTGCACACAGCAGACGACACCTTTGTCTTCTTGCGACGCAGCCTGTGTGTGGGGGAAGCGCCAGGAAAGATCGATGTTCCTGGGGGACACCCGGAACCTCAGGTGGGTGTCCTTATCTGGTTTGGGACAGTGGAGGGAATTCCAGTAATCTTAGAAGTATGTATTGTATCTCCTTACCCCCGTTAACTAAACAGGGATGTAGCCATATTGGAAAATTAGAGAACCAAATGCAAGCTCTGCATGTCAGCCCCTCCAGCTGGTTGCTGCTGGTGGATCCTGCGTGCAGCCCGTCCTGGCATGCTGAATAGGGTAGCGTGCCTGCTCCTATTGCCCTCTCTTTGCAGGCTGTGTTAGGAGATGGCACCTTGGAGGGATCATCTATCCGCCATCAGGACCTTCCAGGAGACCTCGTGGTCAGAGAACTGTTCTCCTCTGTGCTTCGTGAGATCCAGGATGAGGTGAGCGGCTGGAAGACAAGAAGAGGGAGATTTTGCGATGGCTCCCTTATTAATTTTATCCCCTCCTGTTTTGTGTGTTTTTACTGATTTGTATATGTATTTTTTTGTTTTTATGTATTTTTTAAAATTGTTGCATGCTGCCCAGAGTCACCTTGTGTGAGATGGGTGGCTATATAAATATAATAATAAATATAATAAATAAATAAATAAAGGAGGGGGCGTGCTGTTGGGCCTTTCTCCTTGGCTGCTGCCGGAACCAGATTTTTACCTGTTGGCAGGTGAACCTTCAACCAGCCACACTCAGCAGGCCTACTTTGCTTGGGATAGCTCGGAATGAAACCAGCGCAGGCCGGTGCAGTGTTGAATTCTACGTCCGGTAATGCATTAGTTCCCGGGGAAGTGGGAATACAGTCCAGTCCTATTTTCAATCCCCAAATATTGTTCTGTATTTAGCAACAGTACCTTCACGGTAGCTTGTTCTACTTCGTCCAGCCCATTTTTTAAACCTAAGCAACATTCCAGGCTCCCAGTGGTTTCCTTGGCGTCAGATGGCTGGAGCCACACAGCTCGATGCCTGCTGCATAATGATTTCAGTTCCCATCTCCTTTGCTGATGGATCTCGACTCCATTTTGCCCATCAGGTGCAGCCTGACATCTGAGCAAGTGAGGCAGTGTTATGCTCTCGGGGGCCCTGAAGCTCTAGAATCCATCGGCATCATCTTTGTCAGCAGAGAGGTAGGTCTTTGGGCCACTGGTCCAGGGGCAGCACAGATGGAGAAATACCCAGGAGCCCAGGGATGCCTCTGGAGAAAGTATGCAACAACTTTTAGAGCTCAGAAAACAAGAAAGAAAATTGCCTTGCCTCTCTTTGGAATAAGAGCGAGGGAAGGGGAAACACTGTCAGGCTTTTAAGATTCTGTAATTATAACCTAGTATTTCTGACCTGGTCTAAGTTGAGTGAAGACCAAGAAATTGGTCTTCACTCAAAGGCAGCTGTTGGGTTATTGAAATGAACTAGGAGGAATCGGCTGCTTTTGAGGGACAGGCCCAAGTGACCTTAAGTCACTTGATAGTGTTTTAGCCTTGCCCTCTGAAAGGGTGCACTAGAGTTAATTGGGCTATATTATGCTGCCTTGAAGTGTACTTTTTAAGAGATGCAAAGCAGTAGCTAGAAAAGAGACGGGTGTGTTCTCCAGTCTTTCTCTAAAGTGCAAACTTCAGGCATCCTCAAAAATCTCTCCCCCTCCCATCAAAATGTCTGTTCGTGGCAAGGGTCCTTGCATATCCTGTTGGACTTCCTCCTGTTTCTGCATCTCTCTCTCTTGGTGCAGGGTGTCCTATCCATGGAGCAAAAAGGCGAGTTGTGGAAGGAACTGTGCCCATCAGCCAAAGGGGCAGTGAAACTATACACCGAGGTCATGGGAGCGCATCAGTAAAAGGCCCATTGGTGAGTGATGGACTCTCAGGGACTGTTCAGAACATCTTTATGAAAGCAGCAGCTGCCAGAAATTCACCGGTTCTGACATTTCACAATTCTCAGCAGAGGATGGAAGTTGTGCCAAGACTCACCCATCTCTCAAGAAAACAAACTGGTAAGGTCTTCCAGCTCCTCGAACTGTGCCTACTGCGATCCATTTCTCAATAAAGAGCCTTTTTTTAAAAAGGGTTCTCATTGCAGGTGCAATTTCAGATTCTTAGAATAGTTTAGGTTGGCTTCTGAGCCTGCGTTTCCTCTTCCCCTCTCGACTACTCAGGCTACTTTCTGTTCCTACATCTCTCCCTTGGGAAATGCCTAAGCTAGAATCTACACTGAATCCCATAAGCTGAATTGTATTTTTTCCCCCCAAATTAAATTGGTTTGGTGGACACACAGTACTGAAATCTGCACAGTATGTGCTAGGGTTATAAGCTTTGCACTGTGTACACGTTTTTTTCATATAATTTTTATTAAGTACTTTAAACAAAGATAAAAACTAGCAAGAACTATTATAAAGTAAAAGAAAGGAAGGAAGGAAAGAGAGAAAGAGAGAAAAAGCCAAAAGTTCAGAAAGAAAGAATGAAAAGAAATAGAAAAAAGTAGCTTCCAATTTTCTTTGCTGCAGTTGTAAGTACAAATACAAAATTACCTCTTACTCTATGGTTGCACCATGTATACTTTTTCATATAGCTTTGGAGCCGGAAGGGTAAATGATGTGTTTTGTATTTATGTAAAAAGTGGAACCCCTAAAGAAAATGGACTTCTGAACCCTAACCCTAATAATGTGGTTCAGTACTTATAGGAATTAGCAGTCATACAAATCTTAATGTGGTTTGCTTTGCTTTGGGTTCATGTGTTACAGGACTCTGGCTGTTGTGGTTTGTAAATCTTGATTTGTGACTCACTGTGTGAACACAGCTGATTGTGTTTTATTAAAAAAAAACACTATGAAAGGTTTGGACCTTAGCTGATGGAATAAACCACATTTGGCTGGATTTACAAAACTTCCAACCATGATGGACAAGTAACAATGGCTAGATTGACAAAATGATCTCCTAGAAAAATGTCTATTCTCACTGGATTCTTTTGCACGGGCCAGTCACAAAAATGCAAGATGAAGAAGATGGCATGAAGCGCTTCCTCTGCCCAAGAATATACAGGCCAGCCATTTTCAGACTTCAGAAGTCTAAATATTCAGACTGTTTCAGAGTGCTGTAAGAACCTGAAAATCGAGAAATTGAGTTGAGCCAGAGGGATAGCATGAGAACAACAGCATTTCAGAGGATTTAGCAGATCTCCTCACCGCGTCCTGATTATCTGGATTATTGGCAGCTTGGAGGCAATTAATGAACAACAATCTGGGTCCCTCACTATCCATCAAGCATTTTACCCACTGCCTGAGCAGCTTAGTGTCTGAGCTGTGACCCATGTTGCTCAGCTGACATATTTGTTTAATGATTTCTGCTTTGTTATGTTAGAGAGCAAGGAAAGAGCCCTCTTTGGCCCTGTTCTTACATCATGCTGAACTGGGTCAAGTGGGAGACAGGGGTTTGGGGGTGTGGGGACCCCAACTGGGCTTGATTGACTCAGTCAAATAATCCTGAACTAAATTTTGTCTGAAAGAAACCCAGTCATGCTCAGATTCAAACTAATTCGCCCCACTCAGCGGAACTCCTAAACCCAATTTATTGAATGTGCTTGTGTGGACCTCCAAGAAAAAGAGCTGGAGTGAAAGAGCGACCGGAAAAGAATCCTCTCTGATTGCCAGGATCTGGCCATATGAACACATCTCCAAAGCAGTGATGGTTCCCATGGCCAAGTGGTGGCCAATGCTGTCTCTCTAACAGAGAAGAACAGGCAGTGTTTTCCTAGTGCAAGAGATACCAGGCCTGTTCTGCTGAAAAAAGATGGGGCTCTGGTAACTCCAGAATTGGTCACTTTTGTGTGCTATGTCAGTTTCTCAACCTTGGCAGCTTTAAGATGGGTGGACTTCAACTCCCAGAATTCCCTAGCCAGCATGCTGGCTAGGGAATTCTGGGAGTTGAAGTCCACCCATGCTGGCTGGGGAATTCTGGGAATCAGTCCACCCATCTTAAAGCTGCTATGTGACCCACTGGGAAAAAAAATATTTGACTGGGTTAGTGGCTGACTGGGCTGTGCCTATTTTGGGAACGGCACATTTTATCCCACTGCAGGATTGCTTACTGTAGCACAGCTCAGGCGGGTCCTGTGTGCTTAACAGCATCTTGTTCTGGGTGGAATGGCAAAAGATGTGTGAGGGTCACCTTAGATTGCTTAGGGAAGCCTGCAAATCAAACGGCTTTCGAAAGCACAGGGACAGACAAACAAACATAAAATTGGCTGCCTTAAATCTGCATCATACTTTAGTTTATCAGAATGTTCTTCTGCTGAGTAATTTTTCAAAAAATGCTTCCTTTGCATTGCATCGTCACTGTGTCATCATCTGCCCTAGATATCGACAAATAGTCTTGCGCTCAAAAGTGTTTACCATCCAAAGTCCAGGCACTGAAAAGAGGATGCAAGGGAGCAAAAATCCCGGGGGAGGGGGAACAAAGTCAGAACTTTTCGGGGTGGAGGGGGAGGACTATTTCAGCCACCAAATAGGCTGGTGAGATGAGATAAAGACAGACATTTGAAGAAGCAAAAGAAGACAGAGATTCCAGTTTTCTTTAATTGCTTGCATTGCAGCTGCCTGCTTGCGTGTGTATTGTTCCTTGGGGATATGATGGGCTGGGTGTTTGGTGGTGTTTTGCTTTGTTTTTTAATCCCTCTTAATATTCAGCTCCTTTTGTCCTTGAAATGACTTTCCAGAGATTGGGAGGCAGGACACAAACCTAGCCATATCAGGAGGAACCAAAGAAGGCGAACAGTGACACCCAGTGGTATTCTGGGCATAACACTGGATGGAAAAAAATAGAGTGTCCTAAAATAATGGTTTGAGAGCCAGTTTGGTGTAGTGGTTAAAGGCACCGGGCTAGAAACTGGGAGACCGTGAGTTCTAGTCCTGCCTTCATCATGAAGCCAGATGGATGGCCGTGGGTGAATTTGAGCCAGTCCCTCTCTCTCAGCCTATGTAATAGTATGTGGGAATGACCTTGGGAGACAGGAGGGAGAGCCGCAGATGGGACACTATCTTTATTTTTTTTCCTGCTCTATCTGGAAAGGCCCAGCACTCAAACAGGATCCTGGTGCCATGGTCTTTCTCATTAGCCACTCAAAATAATGCCTTTGGAAAGAAAATAGGAAGGGAAGAGACTGATCTCCAGCCATTCTCTCAAATCCGCAGTCATCTACCCAGAACAGCAATGGGAGTTGGAAATTAAATCTTTGATCGGCTAAATCTTTGGCATTTGTTCTTGCAAGATGATTAACATAGGGCCCCTTGAAAAGGGAAATAGGCAAATTCAGGATGGATCAGGCTAACAAAGTTGTAAGTCATGTGGGTTAGAGGATATTTCCAGTTTCAGAGGAAGGATGAAGTCTCCAGGATCAGAGCGGACAATTTGAGGAGCCCAAACAGGGGTTTTGTTCTCCATCCTTCATGTCCACTGTGGACGCACCGGGCCAGACGAGTTTTGTCTGGTTTGATCTGGCTAGATAGTTTGTGGTAATCCTTTAAGATGGGAGAAACGCTGTAGCTGTTGCACACCAGCTAAGCAACCTAGTACCTTTAGACATTTTGAGTTCTGCAATGCACTCTATGTGGGCTGCCTTGGAGGCGGCTTTGGAGCAAAACGTGACAACTGGAGTCCGCTGAACCCTTCAAGATAGGCTAGGCCAAGGAACAGACTCCACAAGGATTACTGGAACTCCACTTTATTGTTGTAGGGTAAGCTTGGCAGAGTTTCTCTCTCTCCTCTTATACCCAAGAGAATCAAGGTGGGGCAATCTTGAGCTTCATTCTCATCCCTTCCTCTTCCAGAGCTAAGCTGATGATTATGTAACTGTTCTTGCACTCCTTCTTCAAGGGGATCTCCGTACCGCTCTACCATTCCTGGCAGATCAACCCCATCAAGTGAGGGGAAACACCTATTCCGAAGTCGCTGCACTGGTTCCCAATAGGCTTCTGGACCCAATTCAAAGCACTGGCGCTCATAGTTAAAGCTCTTTATGGTGTACCACTGAGATCTACCAGGAAGTGCCTTGCCAAAAGCAAATCTGCCAGTAGTGTCTGGTCACCTAGAGAGGATCTGTTGCAGGTCCCCCCCTTCTCACATGGTTCATGGGGTATGGGCCAGGTGACAAGCCTTCTCAATAGTGGCCCCTACCACATAGATAGATTTTCTGCATGTCGATCTGTCCCTAACTTGGTCCTTCAGGTCTTCCAACAGTGCCCCCATCACCACTGTAACAAAGTCCATCCCCCTTGCTGCTGGTCCTCTCTTCATTTTCCTTCCACTTTTCCCAATATTATAGACTTCTCCAGCGATCGAGTTCTTTGCATAATGGGTCCAAAGTATGATCATTTGGTCTGCAGTGAGATTATTATACACTCAAAAGTAAAAAGATTTGGTACTACCCACCATGGAGGAGCGGTTGGTGAAGATGACGGAACTTGCAGAGATAGCTAATTTGACTTCTTTGATTAGAGCAGTGTTGTCCAAACTTGGCCACTTTAAGATGAGTGGACTTCAACTCCCAGA